AGACAGCAACTGCGTCTTGATTTTTAGGAAGGGAAGTGGAAGAGGGGGAGGGAGGAAATGGGGAAGAAGCTTAACACTGTAATGAGTAGCATGCAATTTACATTAGCAGGGCTCCCACTTTGCAAAAGAGGACCACCAATTGCAGGTCCTGGTGTATTGGGGCACAACGGGTGTTCTCTGGCCACGGGGCACCACCACCAGAGAATCATGAACTAGAACCTGGAGATTCCACTGCAGTCACCTCCTAGTTGTGTCATCAAAATCTATTCCATATGAAGGAGGGAAGGAGGCTGGGGTTCTCCAGAAAACAAATACTGGAGGCACTACAAGCTGGTCACCGTTACCAGTAACAGAGTCATCTCCACCGCCATTTCCAAAGGCAAGCGTGAAGTTTGTTCATGTTTCTTGGTGTTTTCAAACATTCTTACACAACAGTTGAACTGTGGGTCAAGCAGTGTGTCATCTTCCCTGCTTTATGTCCAAAACAGAATTCCACAAAGGAAAATAGAAATACAGGTACCCTACACACACAAAGAAAATCCAAGATACCAGAGATCCACATTCCCAAGAAGATTGCTTTGTTTGGTAGTGGGTTTGTTTTGTTTTGTTTTGTTTTGTTTGAGACATGGTCTATTATGTAGCCCTGACTGTCCTGGAACTTGCTATGTAGACCAGGCTGGCCTCGAACTCACATAGATATATCTGCCTCTGCCTCCCAAACTAGGAGTTTGAAAGCATGCTTCACCATTGCCTAGCCTTCCCAAGGGAACTGCTTTTTAAACCATGTATGATGGAGTGTCCTCTGTCAGCAGTGTGACTTGGGGCTACAGAGAAAGCGTTCTGACACCCACCATTTCCTAGAACAGTCTCTGCATTTAGCTCATTCACCCCAGTTTTCCGGTTCACACAAACTTTATCATTCCTGGATTCTTCACTTATTCATCCTGTATTCATCCCGTATTCATCCTGCCCATAACTTGTGCTTCTATCCAAACTCTGAACGATGTCATTCCCCCAGCCAATCTTCAGCCAGATCCTCTCTGGCAGGCTAGACTTGACGGTGTTGCAACTTACCTGTGTCTGCCAGGAAGACGGACACTCAGTGTGTTGAAGAGCCTGATGTACCTTCTGAGCTCAACAAGCCAGGCTTCATCCTGCTCCCACGCTACACAGTCAGATCCAAGTGGCTGCTGGCATTAATCAAATAACTCAATGATGTCAAGTCCAGAATCAAGACTGCTCTCCTGACTTTTTACTGCTCAGCACTTCGAGCTTTCATGAATCGGTAGGGAAGGGGGAAAGGCATGGCCTGCTGCCCTCTCTAGTTCATTGTTGTTCCCAGAATTATGCATAATTCTTCCAGAGAACCCAACAAACCCAGAGCCTGGTGACAGCCCAGTGCTCTTAGAAACCACGTCCTTTCTCTGTGCTTCTCTAATGCCCAGGGGAGTTCACCTCCTGGTCGTCCCCGGCTCCCAAGCCACTGTCAACAGCCCTGTCCCTGTTGTAGGCTCTGCCTGATGGTGTCACAGCCTTCCTGTGCCAAGAATATGCTTGCTTAGTTTAGTAGAAAGACTGGCGACAACCTGTAGACTAAACCACCAGGGCTTTGTCACTTTTAATTTATTAGTTTATCAGGATGTTCTTACCTGAGCTTGTGCATTGAAATGCACCCCTGACTACTTCCTGTAGAAGTCTGAGATGTTAGGGTCTAACATTGATGTCTTTAACTCATTTGGAATTGGCTTTTTGTGGGGTGAGAAAGACAGATCAAGTCTCACTCCTCTGTGTATAGATATCCAGTTTTCTCAGCATTATTTGTGGAAGACGGTGTGTTTTCTACAGTCAGTATTTTTGGCATCTTCACAAAATGTCAAGTGGCCATAGGTGAATGGACTTATATCTGGGTCCTTAATTCTGTTTCACTGATCATTGTGTCTGTTTTTGTGACAGGATCATGCAGGTTTTAATACTATAGCTCAGTGCAGAACCTGAAATCATAAATGGTATTCCTCCAGCTGTGTTTTTATTGTCCAAGGTCATCTCAGCTATCTGGGGTTTTTGTGTTTCCGTATGACATCTAAGTTTTTTTTTCAATTTGTGTGAAGAATTGCCTTGGAATTGTGTTAGGATTATGTTGAATCTGCAGGTCACCTTCGGTAGGATGGCAATTTTCATGTTGTTAATCCTACCAATTCACAAGCATGGAAGATCTTTGCTCTTTTTCTTTTCTTTCTTCTTTGATGTCTTCACTTTTTTGTGCTTGAATGTTTTCATTGTATAGGTTTGTTCCATGGTGTTTTGCAGCTCTTGTAAATAGAGTTGCTTCTCAGATTTTTCTGTCTCAGGATGTTTGTCTCTGGCACATGGGAATGCTACTGATTTGGGTGTGTCAGCTTTGCTGCCTTCCACTTTACTGAAAATAGTTATCAGCTCTCAGGATTTCCTGGTGGAGTCATTTCGTGTAGAATCACACAGTCTGCAAACAGGGATCTTTAGGCACCTTCCTGTCCTATGTGAATCCCTTTTATTTCTTTCTCTCCTATTTTTCTCTGGCTAACACATCAAGGACTGCATTGAATAAGAGTGGTAAGAGTTCCTCACCTTAGTGGGAATGTGTCAAGTTTTTCTCCATCAAATGATGGCAGCTATAGATTTGCTGTATACAGCATTTATTGTGTTGATATATGTTCACTCCTAGTCTCTCCTGGGATTCTGTAATGGAGATAATTTGCTTTTCCTTCATCTGTTGATATTATCACATTATTTCATTGAGTCCACTTATATGATAAATTATATTTATTGATATACTTGACACTGAATAGTTCCTACATGTACTTATAGCTTCAACCCCCTCTCAATACTACCTTTGTTGTATCCTGCGTGTTCTGTATGTTTTGTTTTCATTTTCATTCTATTCTATTTTGTTTCCTTCATTGTCCCATTTGTCACTATATTCATGACTTTGTGTGTTTTCTGTAGTTCACATTGATTTCTAGCTCTATCCCATTGTGATTACCTATCTATCCCAGTTCCCATATTTGTTGAGACCTGTTTTGTGACCAAGCATATAGTTTATTTTAGAAATTTGTCTTAGTTTCAATTTCTATTGCTGTGAAGAGACACTTAGACCACAGCAACTCTTATGAAGGAAAACGTTTAATTGGGGACTGGCTTACAGTTCAAAGGTTTAGCCCATTGTCATCATGGCATGAAGCATGGTAGCCGGCAGGCAAACATGGTGCTGGAGAAGGGGCTCAGAGTTCTACATCCAGATCAAAGGCAACAGGAAGACAGAAGGGGCCACAAGACCTGGCTTGAGCTTATGAAACCTCAAAGCCCACCCCCTGCCAGTGGCACAGTTCCTCTAAAAGACCACACCTACTCCAACAGGGCCACACCTCCTAATAGTGTCACTCCCTGTGGGCCTATGGGGGACCACCACAAAATGGTCCATGAACTATTGAGAATAATGTGCATTCTTTGGTGTTGGGTAGAATGTTCTGTAGGTATCTTAGTCTATCTGATATATAATGTCATTTAACTCGAGTGTTCCTTTCCAAATCAATATTTCTAATGGTGAAAGAGGGGTGTTCTGTTACTGTGGAAGGCTTAATAGTATTTGCTTTATAAAATTAAGTGAGCCCTTATATTTTTAAGGGATAAAATTTCCTCTTAATGGATGGTTTCCTTGATCAGTACAAAGTGACCCTCTTTCTCAGTTCTGACTAGATTTGGGTTAAAGGCTATTTTTGTCAGATATTAGAATCGCAACTTGCTTCCTGGTTCCTGGTTTCATTTTCTTGGAATATTTTTTCCTTCCATTCAATCTAAGACAGCATTTATCTTTTGATGGGGAGGTATATTTCTTACAGGCAGAAAATATACAAGTCCTATTTTTTAATCCCATATGTTTGTCTGTGTCTTCTGAGGGGGGAAATTGAGAACATTAATATTGAGTTATTATTTAAAGGTACATATTGACCCTGACATTTCGTATATTTTGTGGTGCTTGGCAATTCCTTGGTGTTCTTTTTTTTAATGAGTGACTCAGTATCATTTAGTTTTCCCTCCAGTAGCCTCTTGGATGCATTTATCTTTCTCTCCAATCTGAAGCATCCCCTATAATCACCCTCTGTAGCATGGGTTTCATGGTTATATATTCCATTGGTAGGTTTCTTATTGTAGGAAGTTCTTCTTTTACCTTCAATTGTGACACACAATTTTTGCTAGGTATATTAGGATAGGTTAGCAGTTAGGAACTTCCAGAGTTTGGAACACATCATTACAAATCCTTCTTGATTTTGAAGTTTTTGAATAAAAAGACAGTAGTTATTCTCATAGGCTTGACTTAATATGTAACCTGACCCTTCTCTCTTGTGGTTTCCAACATGCTCTCTTTGTTCTATGCATTCTATGTTTTAATAATGCTGTAGCAAAGGGAGTTTCTTTTCTGATCCTGCCTATTGAACATTCTGTGTATTTCTTGTATCTGGATGGACTCTTTTCTCTTCCTCTAAATTTGGGAAATGTCCTTTGGTGGTTTGGTTTAAACTGTTTTCTATGCCTTTTGTATGAAATTCCTCTCCTTCTTTATGATCATAAATTCATAGATTTTGCATTTTCATTGGGTTCCAAAATTCTTGCATTTTTCAGTAATATTTTTTTAATTTATGATTGATCTTGGCTGAAAATCCAGTTCTCGTGCTTTGCCTTCAAGTACTTATATTGTGTCTTCTGTGTGATCCATTCTTTCAGTGAGGCTTTCCAGGGAACTTTTCATTTTTATCTAATGTTTTTCATTTCTATCCTCATTGATGTTCCAGGCATCAGGCATTGTCTCCAATCAACAGGCACTACCCAATGGTTACCCCACTCTGATAACAGAGTACTAGATGCCTAAAAAACAAACAGTTGTTTGACATTGACTGTTTTAGGGAGTAAAAAGATTCTGAAAATACTGTGAACCATGGTATGTTATTTATTGGGCCATAAGTGGAAGGGCAAGGAAAAGAAAAAGAATTAAGCAATCAGGATGAAATTAGTAAATAGCATTGGATTGCTATATGGGAAGTAGAGAAGGACTTACATGAAAATAGAAAGAATAGAGGTAACGGGGAAAATGAGAGGGAGATTTGGAAACTGCGGTGGTTAGACTAAGTAAAAGGAAATAAAGCTAAGTACTCAGCTATCATAGCCATGGCAGTGTCTCAACTTTAGGAGATGTAAGGAGAAAGAATCCAGGGAAAGAAAAAACAGAAAGTTAAGAGTGAACAAGAGAACATCACAGTCAAAATCACAAACAATAGGGGACAGTGCTGGGCTGTATGACATAGGTGCAGAGGTAGAGCTTGGTGGAGATATATGATGATAACAGAGTCCGAAGCTGAACTGGCCGTCCTGAATGCTGCTCTTCATCTCCCAGGGCTGTATGACACAGGTGCAGAGGTAGAGCTGGGTGGAGATATATGATGATAACAGAGTCCGAAGCTGAACTGGCCGTCCTGAATGCTGCTCTTCATCTCCCAGGGCTGTATGACACAGGTGCAGAGGTAGAGCTGGGTGGAGGTGTATGATGATAACAGAGTCCGAAGCTGAACTGGCCGTCCTGAATGCTGCTCTTCATCTCCCAAGGCTGACCCACTACATCGTCCTCCCAGACCTCCCCCGGGTCTGCTCTTTGCTGATTCTCGCATCTTGTTCCCCTTGTGTGGATTCCTACCTCCACTCCTGTTGGTTCCTTTTAAGTAATGCTTTATTAATTATCTGAGAATTTCATGCAATGTATCTTGAACATGTTTACCATCTCCTCCAATTCCTCTCATAACCACCCTTTCTACCCTCCCTTTCCTTCCCACCCAACATTTTTTAAGCTCCATCAAGTCCAGTTTGTATCGCCCAGCTTGTTGGGAGTGGGCCATGCCCTGGTATGCGGTCACATCATTTAAGAAACCTGAAGTGGTGTCCCCCACTCCCTCCTCTCCTCCAAATCCAATCCCTCAATCTCATTCCCTCCCCCTCTGCTCTATAGACCACCTTCTGTGGCCTCCCCTCCCTCTCTACCTCATTTCCAGTAGATCATGCAGAGAGTCTCCTCCAACATTCCTCCTCGATCACATTTTTGTCTCAGCCCCCAACTTCAGCAGGCATTCCCTGGGAAACCTCCAGCCAAGCAGCCAGAGAAGCAAGAGGGGCAGCAAAGTAAATAAGTAAACTGGAATCTTCACTCTCCCTCTCCTCAAATCCAACCCTCCCCACTCCCAGTCTTGTCCACAGCTCTGGAGCAGATCACCTGCTCTGATAGCTCCTCATTCCCTGCCCCCATCCCTAGGGAACTAAGCAGATGCTAGTGGAACACCCTGCTCTCCTCCTTCCTGGACAGCCCACCAGCCCCCACTTCTAACCCATCTGCTTTCCTAAGTATCAGCTCCAATACCTAGAAACACATTTTAACCCAAACGCCAGTGGTCACACCTATCAGAATCCCAGAAGCTTTTCCTATCAGGCAACACACTCTCCCAAGAACCAGAGCAGGCAACACGAACCAAGGAACAAAGCACCCACCCAAGACAGATGAGAGCAGATATTAGCACCAATGATTACAATAGTTCCAAATACAGATGTCCAGACACCAGCATAGAAAAAAGGCAATCAATAACAATGTCCCCACTAGAGCCCAGAAACCCTACTATAGTAGGCCCTGAAAATGCAACTTAGCTGAAACTCAAGACAGGGACTTTCACATAGCCCTTGTGAATACAACAGAGGTCCTTAAAGATGGAATGAGTAGAGATATTAAGGAAACCTATGAAAACACAAAAAGTGGAAGGAAATGAATAAAGCTGTTTGAGACCTGAAAGCAGAAATAGAATCAATAAAGAAAATTGAGGGAAATCTGGACATGAAAAAAAATCTAGGAACTTGAACAGGAACAATAGAGGCAAGATTCACCAGCAGAATATGAGAGATGGAAGGGAGATAGATGGTAGAGTATTTTCTTAATTTTGCCAAATACAAATAGACTAAATTGTACCTTGTAACTCTTGCTTAATGCCTGTATAAGAAAATGTAATTCACAATGTTAAAGTTAAAACCTTCCTTTTTAGTTAGACAAAAAAGGGGAGATGGCGTGGGACGTCCTTCTGTTTGCTGCAAACATGTGTTGCTTTTATTGGTTGATGAATAAACCTATTTTGACCTATGGCAGGGAAGAACATAGCTAGGCCAGAAATCCGAACAGAGATACAGAGAGAAAGAAAGCAGAGTCAGGGAGATGCCATGTAGCCACCAAAGGAGTAAGATGTCAGAACATTACTAGTCAGTCACAGCCATGTGGTGACACACAGATTAGGTAGAAATGGATTAACTTAATCTTGAGAGTTAGTCAGTAATATGCCTGAGCCACTGGCCAAACAATCATAATTAGTATTAAGCCTCTGGGTGTTTATTCAGGAGCCAACAGGTGGGAGAGAAACCTCCGTCTACATGAGGCTTCCTGCGTTCCCAAGACAAAGCTCACACTGTCTGTCTCTTCCTCCCAGATATGCCCAGAGCAGGCACAAATGCACCCCAGAATAGCAATGAATGTGGCTCAATACAAAACTATAAGCTTAATTAAAATACTGTGTTTTCTTCACTACTCAGTTGTGAAGTTCTTGAGTAAGAACTTTACAGATAACAAACACCATGTCACAACATGAAAAGTTTGGACACTGAATGACACTGCTCCCTTGGCCTGAACTAAGCATCTTCTTTGATTGTTTTCTTTATAGGGTCCCACCCATACTGTAATACTCAGATATATTGCTTATAGGCAGGAGCCATGCTTTCTACTTGGGGAATTTGCATGTAGAAATCCAGTAATTACCTAGAATATAGTAAGGCAACAACTTAAAGAATGAAGACATTATTTCATGGACTATGTGAATGAATGAATTAATTAATTAATGGGTGAGTTAATTAATTAACGAGTGGATGAATAAATCAATGAGTGAATGAATGAATGAATGAATGAGTGAATGAATTTGTCTACCCAACTAGACTGTAAATTTCTCACAAGCTGAAGCTATGCCTTTTGCTTTTCTGGACTTCATAGCAAACAAAAGTGTTAATGATGATGATGACAGTGGTGGTGGTAGTTGTGGCAGCAGTGGTGATGACAACAATAATTCCAGGGACCATCACAATGACCACCATGAACTCTTCGGGTCCTTCACCCCTTACTTCCTCCCAAATGCATCATGCATCTGAGAAACTCTCCAGTCTCACTGATCCATTGAAAGAAGAAAATGACTATGTGTCAGAGCAACACTTGGCAAATATAAAACTTTCTCCGAATGGTTTTACCCCGCAGAGCAATCCCTAGCTTTGAAAGGCAGTGGCTATACAACCACTTCAGCAAAGATCTGTGTCCTGGAATATACCTAGGGCCTTGTCATCCGTTAAAGGGTTTCAGAACAAGAAAACATCCTGCCTAGGCAGAAATACAGTACCTTCAAAGTCTCTGGTCCTAGAGAGGCTGATGGACACTTATCTGACCAAATCCTTCTTCCTCCTCTTACTCAGGACAGGGCACTGGGACAAAGCTCTTACAAGGCCATGAAGCCTTTGTCTTTTCTGCCGGGTGACAAATACCTAGGGGGTTGAATCTGTCAGAGAATCTCCACAAGACTCTAGCAGCTATCACAATCCTGCCCCCAGACTTTAGATCAAACACTGGTCAGCCATGATTCTAGAGAAAGTATTCCCCTCTCTGACCCGAGTTTCCCTTGAACCACTAAGTCTTCCAAGTGAAATGTGTGTTCTGCACTTCTCAGAATCATGCAATAAAACATTCTCTTTCTTACTCATCTCTGACCTCAGTGATCAATTCCTGGTGTGCCTGGATCATTCTGGAAACAATCAAACTACTTAGACTTTTATAGGAGCTTTCCCTACCCTCAGATAGAAACACAGCTTTCTTACACAGTCTTGCATGCTGTTCCTAACTACAGCCCATGCACATTCCCCAAGGCTCTGTCTCTGATGCTCCACAGTACTTGGCATCTTTTAATGTGTTCCCCTTACTTACTTTGCTATCAGAAGGCAAGAAGCTATAAGGCTGGGGGGGAATAGCTGCCTGTCTTGTTCACTATCCTGAACACCGTGCCTGACACATTGTAGAAGCTCCAGGCCATCTGTTAAATGACTACAATACATGTTTACTGAGCATCTACCATGCTTTAGGCTCTGAGCCTAGAAACAGCTTTTAAAGGGCCCACAAAATGCTATCTGCACAAGAAACAAATTAAGAGCAACTCAATCCACTGATCAATAAAAACAGTAGCAGACATGTAGGGATGATGAACTCAATGGTCCAGCAGGAGAGCCAACTCATTGAGTGGGTAAGAGGGAGCAGTGACTGAGAACTACCCAAGGGCCCCACCCTACTCTGAGTTTAGTAAGATAAACAGTACTGTCCAGAGGCGGGGGAGCTGGGCAGCTTCTTCCAAGACAAAAAGAAGGCTCATTCTAGAAAACTTGACAGGCAAGACCCCATCCTTTCCTAGCAGGGGTGTTTAGCCTGAGATTCTGTGTTGAGTGAATGAGTAAGTGATTCAGATAAGAAGAGACAATGCAGACATCTTCTGGCCCTGTGGCTCTCTGGTTATGTGGCTGTGGTCCATGATTAAAACCTCCTTTGTAACAAAGGCAAGTTTGGAAGAGAAAATGTTTCCCTTTGCCCCTAAGGTTCCAGAACTGATTTTATGATAAACTGACAACAGCCAGATTAACATGTAAAAACATATTAACTTCATGGGGGAAAATATGGATGCCCAAAAGAACGGTGAGATTTAGTAGCTAAAAATAGAGAGTAGAGATGATATAGTGAATCAAGGGACAACGTCGATGTTCTTTGGAAAGAGGCCCGTTGGAAGATGGATGGGAGGTATGTTGGATGTGACCGCTGGTGTGATACCGACTTCTGTCTCCATCTCCTGTGATATAAGCTCATCTTCCTTGTTGTGAAGTGTGGTGATATCTTGCTTGTACAAATAAAGCTCATCTGAGGGTAAAAGGATGGAGCTTGTCACTAGCTAACCATAGAGGTCAGGAAGTCTGTACAGACAGACAGGAAGTGAGGTGGCTGGGCCAAAACAGGAAGAAACAGGAAGTGAGATGGCTGGGCGGAGACAGAAAGGAGAAGGCTGCGCAGAGACAAGGGTATAAACAGGAAGAAACAGGAACTTGTTCTCCTTTCCACTGGGAAGCTAATGAGGTAACGGTGGCTTTGGCTTGCTCCATCTTCTCTCTGACTTTCAGACAAGCAAGATATCACCACAGCAAGCTCCCAGGAATGAGACTGAGGACAACAGCACTCCCCCTGGATCATCTGTCCACAGGATGGGGAGGGAGTTCAGAGAAAGCTCCTCCAGGCATTTGTCATTTCCAGGTGCCTTCAGCTCAAAAGATCAATGTCCCAAAGTTGCACACTGAGTGGCATATCCTCAGCTCCTTCAATTCCCAGAGAAAGTTATCCATTTTAACACTTTATGTACAACTTTAAAGAAGATATCCTCACCAGAAGCCTTGGATGAAGCCACCTTTCCGGGAAAAACTAACGTTTTAATTACTAGAACAGATCATTGCATTAAATAATTTAATTTTCAACTTGACATAAGCTGCTAAGGGAAAGCTAGTTGTGACTTTGATGGAGACTCCAATAGGAAGAAGCAGGGGACAGAAAGATGGGGCTTCTGACTTGTTTGGCAAATCTGGTCTGCACCTGTTGGTTATGTCTGGCAAGCTAAGAGTAAGGTTTGTATTTTTAAATCACCAGCATGGAAAAATAATAATAATACTTACTGCTTTGGAACACATGAAAATTGCCCAATATTCGAATGTCCATTTTGAATTTTTTCTGGGATATACACAGTGTGTTCACTTGCTTGCATGTCATCTGTGGATGGTTTCTTTCCCTCACAAGGCCCAGAGGCATACTTATGGAGTTACAACAGACTGCACAGCCCATGCGGCCCAAGTGTTCACCATCTGCACTGTATGGAAAGAGTGTACAAGAACAGTTGGTGAATCCCAACTTCAATGGGACTTCAGATTACCTGGGCAGGTTTACAATGCCTCCATAAATCTGCTCATCTCCCAGAGACCTTTGGAAGCTACCCAAAGTCAATATCACTTACGGCCAGTCCAGCAAGATCTTCATCATACAACAAGAGCCAACGGGAGTTCACTGGGCATTTCTAAACACAAGGCATAACAAGCACTAGGCAGTGAGTTCCTTCCTTTTCCAGCCCTTGTGTCCTTGACAAGTGCCTGAGACCCTTTTCTCATTCTGTCAGTAAAACATAACAAGGGGAAGGGGGTGGCAGCCTGGCATCTCCTTGGCTACTAAAAAGGATTACATAACGTTTAGGAAGTTACAAATAACAGAGCCTCAGGTTTCAAACTGAAAAGTGAGATTTGTGCAGAATCACGCAGAGACCCAGGGAGATGATGATTACCCACAGGCATGCATTTCACTCCTTGGATGCTGCAAGCCCATTTGAAAATTCCTAGCTATTAGGTTCATTTTAATAGGTAAGGGTAGGTGAGTCACAACCTGCAAAAGTTAAAAGTTAAAGCAGGTGAAGCTACTCTCCTAAAAGTTCTCTGCCAAATTGTAGGAAAACACAACTCAGATCAAATAGTTCATGTGACAATGAATTGTGTGTGTTGACTTCGATAGGACCCAGAAAGAGAGTAACAACCTGCTATCTCTCTCTCTCCCTCTCCCTCTCCTTCTACACTTCTCTCTTCCTCCTCTTCTCCCTCTCCTCTCTGCACTGCTTCCTGGGCACTGGTACACATACAGGGATTCATTAGACAAGTGTCCACTAGTGTAAGACTAAAACAGTTCGTGAAACTTGATCCAAAAGCTCAATGAACTCACACTCTCCCCTATTCATCACAAGGCCACTTCACATGCCAAAGTAATATTCCATCAGTCAGAATTAGGTTGCCCTTCCAATTAGCATCAGGCAGCCATAATCACGGTTGTGGGAAGAACCTGTAGACATCATGTCCTGGGCACAGACCCTGAAGACACAGGCTCTAGTTTGCCAGGGTTGTCTCTGAAATGTTTAATTCAAATCGCAACATGTGAGAAGCGCTAATTTTGCTAATGAGCATAGCTTTCTAATATCCATTATGCCTGTTAATAGCCCACATATATTACCAATGAAAACCCACTTCTTAACTCGTTGCACTAATTAGCAAGGCCGCTATTATTAATAAAGGCAAAAAGGAAACAAAGGACACAGAGCAGTCTCCTGAATGTGAGGGTTCTGATTAAATTAGCTGCTGTCCAATCCTGAGACATGAACTTCTGATTGACACTGACTGGTTGCACCTAAGGTGTGATTGAGACTAATTGGTGCATATACGAAAACACATTTTGATGCCGGAGTAACTGAAAGCAAATTACCAACATTATAACTGTGTGGTACCAAGAGATGTCATGTTCCTAAATCCAATTTTAACTCCTCACCAGTTTTCGTAAGGAGACAATCCCAGCATCCAGGGACCCTCTAGCAAGGCCTCTCCTTTGGGATCACAGGAGTCCTTAGCACTGAAGGAATCCCATCAACATTGGTGCAGTTCCTCTGATGGACTCCTGTTAATAGAGTAACTCAAGCCTAATTCCTAGGACCCATGCCGAGGCTGGAAGGCCAGGACCTAAGCCTTGTCTGCATATGCCATATGTTGTGCCCCTCTGAAGCCCAGGACATAGAGCCCCACCCACCACACTACCCCCAATCCCCCCCAACCCCGCTGATCCTCTCAGCTTTCAGGAAACTCCATATGTTTGACCGCCCTCTATCTTCAGAATGAAAAGAACTCAGAGGGCCACTGGGATATGGAGACCATGAAGCAGGGAAAGACTGGACTGGATCACTGAGTATTCGAGAAGGAAGACAGAATGCCTGGGCTTGAGCAAATGAAGGGTTTCCCCAGATACGTCCAATCAAAGATGGCGTCTCAGAATCAATGAGTATAAGCAGTGATGAGGAGTGGGGTTCAAGATCTACAGTGACGAGGGGAGGCCACCATATGTTAAGAGAGAAGGAATCAGAAATGTACTTTTAGAGGCTGGGCCTTGGCTAGATTCTTACTCATGCCGAGTCACAGCCTGTCCACCTTGCTCTCAGTGAAGTGACCCAGAGAGCAACCAGAGCCATCGTCGTCATGTTCAATTCCGAGCAGTGTCACCAGCCATCTAGCCAGCTGGAGAGACAGACTACCCTTTCTCTTCCGGGGACTGTCAAAGTCTGGTTTCCCTCCTGTCACAGACCCTCAAGAAGGCTTAGAGTCCTCCCATCTGTCTCCACGTTTCATGTAAACGTGATGCTCTGTCTGTACAGAAATCTCATGCTGTTGACCCAGGATGAGTACTCACAGGCTGCCAGGCTCTGCGGCCCTCACTTCTTTCTTCCCTGATGCCATATCAACTCTATTCCATGGTCTTGAGCCTTATAACTAGAGTTTCTCTAACCAGCAGTAGAAACACTTGTTTGCAACAGAAACTCTAGCCTGGCTCGCCCGTGGCCATGTGGAGCCATTCTCTCCACACAGAGAAGTAACATTGTCCCAAATGACTCAGTGGTGGGAAAACAGAGCAGAAGCAGCAATTAATGAATGTATTCCTCTCTGCCTGTCACACCACCCGTTTATGTAAGACTGCCTGAGTTTCAAACCATCACGGACTCCCCATGTTTCTATATTTGAACGTCCACGGGGTTAATCTGATGAGTCAACTCAGTTAGGACATGGTTCCCGGATGATCCATTCAACATCAACCTGCAGGTATTTTGCAGATAAGATGAACATCAAAATCAGTAGACACCATTTCCCTCCAGGATATGGGTGGGTCTTGTCCAGTCAGTGGATTGCTTAAGAGAAAACCATCAAGTTTTCTTGTCGCAGTGTGGGTGTGGGTTCACGGGGGACTGCCTGAAGAAAGCTCAGAGACACTTTTAAGAATGAATTTAGCCATTGCAGCTGCAGGGGACCTCAGCTTCGAGGGACTGAAGTACCTTCCCTATACCATACTTTTGTTTTTCTCCATATTTATACTATAGCCAGTTGATTACAATATGCTCAGAACAACTTGAATGAGGCTTCCAAAAATACCATGTCATGCGCAAAGTCTTGATTCATCAGGTACCTCAGTTTTCCAGGTTTTCTGAACCAATTTTTACGTAGGCCTTTGTCTTCTTGGGAAATTCCCAAACAAGGTCACATAGGGGGCCAAAGGTATCCTGTCGACAAAGACTGGATTAGGCCAGGTGCTAGCTCTCAGGAGCTCGGCCAGGTGTCACTCAGTTAGGGCTAGTTGCACCAGGTAAGCAGGATGCCAGTCAACAGGAAACTGCTCCAGAAGAAGGAATCCTGCGTGGAGATGACCTTCGAACTCAAGCTGCACCAGCAGATTTTCCAGCATCCACAATCATCTGAAGTTTGCACAGAAGGGCCCACCTGGGAAAGAGCATAACAGAAGCTACAGGGAGATACCCACTCCTCGGGATAAGCTAGAGACATTTTAAAGGCTGGGTGGCCCAAAAGTTTGCCACTAACTGATTTGTACTGAGAAAAGGACATGCTAGTTGTATTTCCTCCGACAGGAAGAAGGTTCTCGAAAGAATGAGGAAGCTGATCCTTATGACATTGGCCAAATCTAGACCATCATTTGTAACCTGATTTTAGAAAGTAATTAACCAATGAAACTCTGCTGACTAGCTTGGGATAAAAACAACTGCAATCAATGTGTAAGCTCAAAGGAGGGAGGTGGGAGACCAAAGCAGCAAAGGCCATTCCACTTTAGGGAGTTTTTATGAGAATTCCAGGCCTTATCTAATCAAGATGCAGGTTAAAACTAAGAGTACGTGTTAAGATATCAGAAATAGAAAGTCTCACCCAGGTGATTAGAAGAGGAAAAGGAGACTAGAGAAAGTCTCAGCAGAGCTGGGAAGACGGCTCCGTCATAAAGTCCTGGCCTTGCAGGCACGAGGTCCTGAGTCAATATCTCAAGAACACAAGATGCTGCACACCTTTAATCTCAGCAATTGTAAGACTGGAGGAGGCAGAGACAGATGGATCCTGAGAAAGTCATAGGTCAATTAGCCTGACCCATGTGGCAGACTTCTAGGACAATGGGAGACCTTAGCCCAAACAAAAGGTGGAAGGCACCTGGACTCACACTCAAGGTTGTCTCTGACCTCCACACGCTTCACACACACGACATACACATGTGTATCTACACCCTTACGTGTACACAGAGGGAGACAGACAGACAGACGGACAGACGGACGGACAGGCAGGCAGGCAGGCAGACAGGCAGGCAGGCAAACAGGAAAACTGGAAATATGATTCTGAAAGACAAGAAAGGGGATGTAATAACTCCCCATTACCCAAGACCAAATCACCTCACATTCCCATACCCCACTAGTGTATGCCTGAAATGTGTTAGGATAAAACTCTACATATCCTGTGTTTTTCCTATGGAAATGTAGTTGGGATAAGGGTTAATTCATAAATTAGGGAGAGTAAGAGCTCCAAAACAGTTCGTAGAAAAATTATAGCAAGATACAATAAGACAGGTGCTGGTATTATCACTCCCACACTTTGACACTGTTATTTGGGGGCTGGGGAGAGCATCAGTTGAACACAAGGGCTCTGAAATCCAGACTGTGGTTCTGACCACAGAGAAAGCTACTGAGTGACTAATGGGAAAGTAGGATGCTGTGCGCGCGTGCGCACACACACACACACACACACACACACACACACACACACACACCCCAACTGCAATGGGGCTGAACAATAAATATACTATAATGTGAATTCTTAAGTGGTCAATTTTTAAATACTTTAAAGAAATCAACTCATATTGTTTTTAAAACTAGATAAGGTGCAGAAAGAAGAGTCTACCCCACCTCCCCTAAGCAAACAATCTCCCAGAGTAACCAAGTAACTGATCAGAAAAGTCTCCTCT